GCTTTCCCTTTCGCCTCCCTGCATTGTGCCTACATATGCAAATTAACCGCCATCTTATTGGCAGTTAACTGCCAATCTTAGTTGGCAGTTAATTTGCATATAGCCCTGACTAGCCAATGAAAAGGGTAGCGTCGTACGCCAATTCCCATTTTTCTCTTTTATTAGTGTAGATAGCGCCTCAGCGTTCTGTTGGATGTAGGGTCCATAATAAAGTACAGACGTGCTGGTTTATCCACACCACCCTCGGTTAGCACTGAACCATTGCCACCACCCTCCTGGAAGTGGGGAGCAGTGCCCCATGAATGTGTGCCACTGCAAAGCAGAGCTAACTTTGCCCCTGTCTAGTCTGGAAAGCGTAAGGTGGTAGCTGGGTAATCGCCGCAGATGACTCAGTGTTTCCATGGTTGCAGCAACTCTGTGTGGGAGGGAGCATGGTCTACGACTGGACTAGACAGGGCAGCGAGTCCCATGGCAGCTGAGGAGCTATGGATGAAAGCGTGTCACAGAGGGGACCCCCAAAGCTGTATTTCATCTCTCTCATGGGCAGGATTGGAGAAACATGTCTGAAAATATGCCAGGACATCCATGTGAAACACCCATGATCACGAAGACTCACGCAGCTGCTTCTTAGAGAACGTTGTCCTGGTTAAGCCCAGAACTGGTCACAACCAAGAAAAATACAGGCATTTCTTGAGCACCCAGAGCAGGTGAGCAGCTCTGGCCTGGGGTTTGTCCTGTGCAGCCGATGAACTGAGAAGGTCCAAGGTTATAAATGGTTGGAAAGCATATTGGAAAAGCGGAAGAAGAGTATTTCATGGCCCATGAACAGTAAATGACCTTCAGGCCTCCATGTTCACGATGAAGTGTACAGACCAGCCGTGGGGTTCACATCCGTATCGTCTCTGCTACTTTTCAAGCCGCAAGGGCAGGACTGACAGCACAGAGGACGGGCTCTCCAGGCCTAAACTATTTACTGTCTGGCCCTGAATGCAAAGTGTTTGCCAATCCTTGAGCTACAGGAAATTACTATTAAAAAATTGAGGCAGCATTTTGGCCACCGTGTAATCTCATTAGTCTGTAGGAGTAGCTGTGCCCTGGGTCTCCTATGAAAAATTACTTCAATTAAAGGCTTAGGGCTGTTGACCTGTGAAATCTGAGAAGGTGTGGTTAGAAGGTAGTGATTCGGGTTGTTTGAATCAGTAAGAGAGTGGAAAATTACAACTAGAGAAGACACTTGGGGGTTTGTCCTGACTGATATTACCACCAGCTGGAAAACCACAAAGTAGAATGCTATTTAAACACATCCATGAGATGCACTTAAATCAGAAATTCAGGCAAATGACTCAATGGCATGGCCCACATTTCTGGAAGGACTTTTTGTTTAAGCTGAGACCTGAAGAATGAGTAGAAGTCAGACAGGAAGAGGAACGTTCTACCACAGAAAGAAGAATTATGATCAGGGAGAAAAAAACCATGTACCACCAAGCTCTGGATTGGTTTCTGGGGTAATATCCCCAACAAGGTGACACTGATAATTGATTCATAAATAATTGATTTTTCTGTACAACATTCTAAATACTGTAACCAGAACCAAGGTTCGGCTGCCTGTCAGCAGCCCAGGTTCCTGCCTGTCGGCCCAGGGTTCACAGGGGGAGCAGCCGCTCATCCCGGTCAGCTGAGTGGAGCTCCCACTGTGGTAGCGCACTGACCACCAGGGGGCAGGTCCTGCATTGAGCATCTTCCCCCTGGTGGTCAGTGTGTGTCATAGTGACTGGTCGACCAGTCGTTCTGGTTGTTCCGCCATTCGGTCGCTGGGCTTTTATTATATAGGATGGTATTCATCTACATGCTACATAACAGTCAGTCAGCACTTAGAGAAACAAGGCCACAAGAACGATGGGGATTGTTACAATACCACAGCAGTACTTAATAACATGACTCAATTGCATATACAGTAAGAGGTAATACTATGCAAAGTACTGATTTCTAAGCAATTAGGATGGTAAGATGATAAACAATGTCTTCATACTTTTGAATTAGATGGACTGGGAATTTCAATTCCAGTTGACTTAACAGCCACGCAATGATGGGAAAGTTACTCAATTAACCAGAACATTCGTTTTTTAGGTGTAATGGGGGAATAGCAAGTGCACCTACCTCATAGGATTGATGGTTAGATGAGATAAAGTACTTAGCATAATCCTATGCCCTTAGTTAATATTCAATAAATATTAGCAGGTGCTGCTGCATGATTATAGTATGAGAACAATGTGATCTGGGAAAGAGCACCTCAATACACAAAATGTCAGATGATCTAAGTTCTGGAGAGAATTTCGGGAGAGTTTAGGCTAATAAATTTAAGAACCTTATGCTTCACTTTCTTATCTGTATAGTGTGGGCAATAAGAACTCGGGCCAAATAAGATAAGGAATGAGCTCATTGATGGGAAAACCCATTATGGACGATAAGGCACTTTAGAGACATCAGTCAGTGAAGAGACAGTGAAGCCTGTGTATTCCTGGACTCATGCACTCACCCCACTTCAGACAGCCCCTTATACAGCAGTGCTTCCCGGAAGGAGGGATGCTCGGTGTGTAGTGATGCAGCTGCTGCTCGCATCGCATTAACCAGCTCCGAGTCACGCTGTACTGAGTAGCCGACGCTGCCGGGCTAACTCAACAGCTGCTTAAACACAGTATCTCGCTGGCCTTGGAGATTTCTCCCAAGTGCTGGGATGTCACCGTAGCTCATCTATATATATAAAAGCCTAAGCGACCGAACAACTGGTCGACCAGTGCACTCCCACAGCCAACCTCCCATGGTCCCTCCCCGCAGCTGGCCAGCCCCCCCCCACCCATTGGTCTCGATCGCTGGCAGGCCAAGGGACCCCACCCGTGCACATATTTATGCACTGGGCCTCTAGTAAAACATAATTTGGCATAAAACAAATTTCCTTCCACCACTAAAGTATGCTTCATGTCATAAAAAAGCAAACATTTCATAATCTAATCCTCAATAACATACTTGTCCCTCACAAGAAAATTATTAGAAGAGAGAAACCTCACGTCTTCACAAATTAGTGTCATTGTAAGTGAAACAACTCCTGTCCACTGCCCTGCTGCTCGGCCGTGTTTGACAAAGCCCATCACTGTCATTACAGACGGCCAGTCCCGCATGCAGGGCGCCATCACGCTAAACACATTAACATCACACAGTGCGCGGTTCTGTCACGATTCCCAGTTGCCAAACTATCCGTAAACCGCAAGAGGCCTTCAATTAT